TGTTCAATAATTGTAATGGAAATCGCTCTGTACTTTTCGAAAACCCAGACATTAATAAAGAAAATTAATTTTTGCATTCATTACCTAATGGCTGATTGCAATATACTATATCATGATTATTTGCGATGGCAATTACGATCGCAATCTTTCGCCGAAACACGCAAGACTGCCCCGATAAATATCCCCTGAAAAATTTATTCGGGAGAAAAACGTCGATGAGAACTTGTAAAAAAAATTATCGTATGAAGTTTAAATAATTTCGTAATCACTCTGCACTCGATATTTAATTGTAAATTCAGTGAACTCTTTGATTACTACTCCAATTAAATTAATTATTAACTTCCTCCTCTCTTTCTCCTCTCATAATTATAATTATTCAAAACCAATTCCATAAATTTCAATCTGTCAGACCCCAACAGCATCAATGGTAAAATTTTGGAATTCAAAAAATCTGATGGAGATTTTTTTACCGGCGTACATACTCCATGCAATATTTGGTATTGCTGTCCTACGCTATCCCATGGATAAACCAAGAGTGAAGCTATCAATTTTTTATTCCATCGTGCACTACTCGATTTATGAGTATTTCTTCATTCCTTTATTTCTCCATTGGTCCACTTTGCCCACTCTGGATCCCCAGGAAAAAGTATTCTACATCATAATACTCATTTACAACGTGTACATGATCCTTGGTGTAATCTACATATGGATAAACTACAAAGTATCTATTTACTCTTCATTTCCTTTTTACCGCACAGTTCCATTCCATTCCATTTTATCCTCATTCCATTTTATTATGTATCCATTTTTTCATGATGTCCCATTTTGCCCGGATCTCCCCTACTATGACCGCAATTTTCTAGGAGAACTTGAAGACACTGTGGCTGGCATCAGAAGTAGAGGACACCCTGGATGGAATAGGCGTAAAAAAAGACCCTCAGCTACTGATAATTTGTCAGTTCTCTGTGTTTTTACTCTGGATTTTTATGATATTTGGAATAAATCTCAGTACAGCAATGTGGGTGGACACCAGATCTACAAGATTCGACACCCATTTTGTGAACACATGCTGTCTCATGCATCCTGTTCATATCAACTCGTTGCTGGAGTTGAATTATTACATCCTGATCAGGTACATTATCTTCAGGTTTATTCACCAATATCTCATCTTTCATTTTCTTCGTGCAGATTTGCGTCTCATCGATACAAATCCATCAATGAGTTCCTGAAGAATCTCATATTATCGAATGCCAATAAACAATTGAAGTCTCAATATCAGCATAAACTGAGGATTCGAACCATCAGTGTAAATGTGGAGAGATCATTCTCAGAGGATGACATAAAAAGAAAAATACAAGTCTTGAAGTAAGACCCAAAATTTCATCTGATTAATTAAATAATTGTTATAATTTCATTGTGTAGGCATGTGCATTTGGAGCTCAGGAAATTGACTCAAAGACTCGGAAAATCTTATTCTCCGCAGATAATATTTCTCATGGTCTCATCTTTTTTTGTGATAACTTGGATGCTTTATTCAATTTATTGTGCAATTTCACATACATCATTGGAAACTCATACAAAGAG